TGTGTGTGTGTGTGTGTGTGTGTGTGTGTGTGTGTGTGTGTGTGTGTTCTCTTTCTGCCCATACCCTGGTAAGGCTTACTGCCCACATGTACCAAAATCTTCCCATCTCATAGCCTCTACTTCTAGATCCCACCAGGAAAATAAGAAGCATGGAAAGCTAAGAATGTCCCTCTTTCTGCTTATTGATGTCTACATTGTATAAATGTGTGGAAATTACAAGTAATAAAAAATGTTATTTTAAAAAGCGATTAGAGGTTTTCACAAGTTGGTATAAGCTGGTGGACAACAACTTTTGCAGGAAGCCAGGGCTATGACAGGACATACTGAGGTCTTTCAGCTCTAGTTAAAGAGAAGAAGGAAGATTTCCATATGTAGCCTAAGGATTCACGGATGGATGGATGGGTAAACAGATGAGTAGCAGAATGGATAGATGGTAGATGAAGGGGGAAATATGGGTAAATGGATGAGTGAATGGGTAGACGGGTGGATAAATGGATGGATGGGAACATGACTCGATAAATGGATGCACAGAAAGATACATGGATAGGTGGACACGTGGATGGATGGATGGATGGATGAATAGATGGATGGATATTAGGTGGATAGATGATAGTTGAATAAGTGGATTCCTGGGTTAGTGAATGGATAGGTGGGTACATAAATAAATGAACAGATGGGTGGAAGAATAAATGGGTAGACATATGCATAATATGATGTGCTTTCTAACATCCTAACTTGGAAAGCTGGTTTTGAACATCTTTGATGATTAGGATTAAGTGAAGATATTGTGTTATACCAAAGAATCTGAGTCCAGTCAGAGCAGTGTTATTTTGGCCAGCATGGCCTCGGGCTAGCGTGCCTTAGCACTGGAAGTGGAGTCAGAGAATAAGAGATCTCTTACTGTTACTGGCCAAAAGCTAAAAATCTCTGTATGATACAGAGGGTTATTTTTGGTTGTGGTTATGGGAAACTAGTGGTAGCAGCAGAGGCATTCCAAGGAGAGGGCCCTGGAACCAATGGGGTTAGCTTTCTCTTGAGGCCATATGGGGCACCGCTGTTGGAGTGCAGGGACTAGACACCCATGGTCTGAGGCAGGAGAAGGTGAAAAGCCATGTTGAGTGTGGGAGATCCAGGGACAGTCAGGGCTAGGACGTGGGTGTGCAGGTGAGCTACATGTCTGTGTATCTGCAGAGTCCACAGTGTCTGGGGCACGGACCAAACAGAACAGCAAAGCTCAAGAAGGATCTTGTGCTCAGCCTCAGGCTATTTGGTTAGCGTCAAGATTGATGTCTATTACATTGGTCAAAGTGCTCATACTACCCTTAATATTGAATAGTGCCCATCTTACAGATGCTAAGGCTGAAGCAAAAGAGACTGAGTGCATTTGGTCAGCATCTCAACTTTTCCACAGAGCCTCCCTGCCTTATGCTGCCTCCCAGGCCAGCTTCTTTCTTCCCCTCTTCCCCCCAAATGGACGCACATTAATCTCACCTCTTCACCAGACAGGGCCACGATGTTGAGCCAATAGTAACAAAGAATCCCAACAATGGAGATCTTCAGTAGAATGTTTCTAAACAACAGAAGAGAAGACGGCTCTGGTCACCTTCATTGGTCACCCTCATTGGCGGTCTCTTATTTGCTGTAGTCACTCAATGAGACAGATGTTTCTGCCTACCTAGCTCCAAGGCTGGAAGTGCTCATAAGTTAAGTTTTAGCAGGTGAACTGGGAGCATGTGTGCCTTGTGTCACTTCTGGCTTTGAGCACTGCACGCCACCCTGAGACCTTCCAGAACCTGCTGTCCTTTGCCAGGGCAGCCAGCACTATCTCAGATGTGCACTGATGACTCAGCTTGGGTCCCTTGGTGACTAACACACACGCAACCCTCTCTCCAGTCTATAATGTATGTGAAACACTGGCAAGAAGTAAACCTTTGTGTCTCATGCCATCGAGACTTGGGGAGGATTGTTACCGCAGCAAAACTTAATCCATTCTGACTAATACACTCTTCTCTTGACCTTGCAAATGAACTCTCTTCTGTTCTCCTATTACAACCCATTATACTAATAAGAAATGTGCTTATTATTTATCTATTGAATGCTTACCCAAGATGCTCTACTGAGTCCATTACTTAACCATCTCCCTTAACCTTTATAACTCTATCCCAGGTGGTGTATAATACACGTCTTACCCAAACTTCAAGTGTGACAGCAATTCCTAATATTTACCCCTCTGTGCATGCCCCTAATATATGAGTTACTTTTCTCATTGCTGTGACCAAATACTGATAAGTGAGTTTTGTTTTGCTTGGCTCACGGTTTGAGAGGACAGTCCTTCGTGGAAAGGAAGACGTGGCAGCAGGGACATGAGCAGCTGGTCACATTGCACGCACAGTCAGGAAGCAGAGAGAGGGGAATCCTGGGCTCAGTTTGTTCTTTGCTTTTATTCAGTGCGGGAACCGTAGCCCACGGGATTGGTGGCACCCACAGTTAGCATGGGTCTCCCCACTTCCGTTAACCCAATCTAGAAGCTCCCTTGCAGACATGCCCAGAGACCTGTCTGCTAAATGCTTATAGATCGTGTGAACCATCAACACCTAAGAAAGTGGGTGGATTGGGAGGAATAATGATGGTACAAGAATCATTTATGGTTAGAACTTTCATAATATAAATCGAAAATAATTGGCTCACTGATTTATGGATTCATTCATTCACTAATTATTCTTAAGCACCTGATATGCCCCAGGCACTGTGAGCAATAGAACAATTTCCCCATACACTCTGTGTGTATGTATGCTGTTTTGTTTTGTTTTGTTTTGTTTTGTGTGACACACACATGCACACTGTTGGGAGAGATAACAGATAAAACACTAAAAAGTGGAAAAAAATGAAAATGTAAGGAATTAGGGGGGTAGGAAAGAACTACATGAAATGACAACACTTGAGTAGAAGCAAAAATAAAGTCAGGAAGTGAGTCCCAGGGATCAGGGCTCCGGAGGGGCTCAGGAGGGTACTTTATGTGAAGATCCAGGGTCAAAGCCGGGGGCGGGGGGGGGGGGTGGCGCGGAGAAGGGTGAAGGGAAAAAAAGTGGGTTGTTTTGTTTTTTTTTTTTTTTTTTTTTTTTGCTTATCAAACACTGGCCCCGTCTCTTTTACATACATCTCCAAGGGGCGCCACCTTTGAGCCAATGAGTCACCAGGAACATTCTGCCTTCTGTTTTGATAGATGAATTACAAAAATACACCTTCTCCTCCTGCATGAGGAGGAGTGCTAGGTGGGTACCAGTGGGTGCCAGAGCCCCTCAGTCAGGACTCCTTGTACAGGGCCTGCACATCTGTGTGGTGACACTTGAGAATTAGGTTAATCTCCAGGCCAACAGCCATTGAGAAAGTCACCATCTTATAAAAAAAAAAAAAAAAAAAGGCAGCTGTACTCTCTAGTCACACTTTCCCAGGGTTCTCTGAAGGCTGTTGTGGTGAATAGTTTTATGTCAACTTGACATAAGCTAAAGTCATCTGAGAGGAGGGAACCTCAATTAATAAAATGCCTCTGTAAGATTGGGCTGCAGGCAAGCTTGTAGGGTACTTTCTTAATCTGTAATTAATAAGGGAAGGCACAATCCATTAATGGTGGGTGGGGCCACCTCTGGGCTGGTAATCCTAGGCTCTATAAGAATGCCTTCTGAGCAAGCCATGGGGAGCAAACCAGTGAGCAGTAGCTCTCCATGGCCTCTGAATCAGTTCCTGGATGCCGTGCTTGAGTTCCTGTCCTGACTTCCTTGAGTGATGAACAGTGATGCAAAAGTGTAAGCCAAAGAAACCCTTTCCTTCCAACTTGCTGCCAACCCATTACATGATACTTGATTCCTGGGATGCCTTCCTTTGGGAACAGACCTTTGACATTCGAATGGAACTCCTTCTGGCTCCAGGAAATGAGCTAAGAGTAGGTGCAGTACACCTACCGGATCAGGAGGACATAGACTTCCTGTCTCGGTATCTCATACCGCTCCACCAGACGGAACATGGAGTAGAATCGAGGCACGGCCAGGTTGATGCAGGACACAACAAACGGCAGTAACAGCACCGCTCCAGGGTTCCTGTGCGTCTTCAAGAACTGCAGGGTTGGAGGATACGCCTGAGACGTCCACGGAGCTGTGGACCCTCTCCACACACTCAGAGGCTCTGAGGCATACTGAGTCTCAGAGAAGTCTGTTTTCCCAGGGTCACCCAGTAAGAAACCATTAGGTCACAACAGAGTGTGGGTTGGTTTTTCTTGTCAACTTGACACAACCTAGAGTCAAATGCCAAGGGGGAACTTCAATTGGGGAATTGCCTAGATCAGACTGGCCTGTGGGTATGTGTGCGGGATATTGTCCTGACTGTTAACTGGTGCAGGAGAGCCAAGCCCACTGTGGGCAGCGTCGCCCCTGGTGTTCCTGGGCTGTAGAAGAAGGCTGGCTAAGCGTGAGCCTGTGAGGGAGCCATCAAACAGCGTTAACCCACGGTTCATGCCTCTGCTCTACCTCTGCCCATCAGCATCCCAGTCCTGCCGAGCTCTCAGCCATGACCCTTAGGGTTACCTCAGAGTTATACTCAGCCAGATAGTATACGGCTAGGCAGCAGGCTGCGCCCACTCCGGTAGAGACGAGCCAGGCGGCTATGTGAGCAGAAAAGTGAGTCAGCTGCTGGTTGAGCGTGAGCCTTTCGTTCTCCTGGCGGATCTCAGACAGGTTCTCCTGCAAGTGCCAGACAGTCAAATGGACCCACTGGCCCCTCCCTGCCTGTCAGCAGACATCCTCAGACATGGGCCAGCCCAGACCACAGAAAAGCTGGAGGGTTAAGTCTGTAATCAAGGGGGATTGTGGGAGACCAAGGGAGAGTCTCAGGATGGCAGAGAAGCCTATGGACTTCAAACTCCATTTCCACCTTAAGAGGAACAGAAAGATGAAATAAGGCTGAGGTCATGGTGTGCTTCCTCTCTCTGTCTTTTCTTTCTCTTTTCCCCTTTCCTTCCTTCCCCATTCTCTATCTTCCTCCCTTCTCTTCCTCCTTTCCTCTCTCCCTCCTTCCCTCAGTCACTCCCTTCCTGCCTTTTTCCCTTTTATCTTTGTGCTTGGGAAAAAACAAGGCCTTGCTATGAAGCATAGCCTGCCCTTAAACACATAATCCTCCAGGCTCTGCCTCCCCAGGATGACAGCGTACAACATATAAAACACTCAAAGGAGCCTTTTATTTGATGAACAAGGCTGAGGAAGAAGTCAAAGCTGTTGTCAGAGCCCATTTATTGTTAATTTATAATTACTGTTCTCTTTTTATTTGTTTTATTTTATGGTGGGCTTTGTTGTTTTGTTTTGTTTTTTTTGAAACAAGGTTTCACCTTGTAGCCTTGGCTGACCTAGAACTCATTAATTTGTAGATCTGCTTCTCAGATACTGGGATTAAAGGCATGGGCCACCACACCTGGCCAACTCACTCTTTTTAAATAAAAATAAGCTTGCCTCTGTAGACCAGGGCAGCTTGCCTCTGCATCTGGCATCAAGACTGTCCTTTTCTTGTATATGGGGTGCCTCATGGCATCCCAAACCTCCACCCACTCAACACCATTATACCTTTAACCCTAATTGTAGAAACTGAAAGAGGTCTTCAGAGATAGCCCAATGGCCCACTGAGGGACCAGTTGCTCCAGATGGAAAACCACTGCTTAGGGTAGAATGTTTAGCATGGCAGTCTGGGGTCAAGAAGTGCATGTGTTTTCAGATGACTTGCTAAGCTGGCCTCAGTGAAGGCTGAGCCAATCACAGAGCCTGACATGACAGAGAGGGTGCATTTCCACACACACTGGCTGATGTTGAGTATCACCCATAACTTACTATCTTACAGACAAAGGTCTAATCTCAGCATCAGGGAGCCTGAGGCAGGAGGATCTTAAATACCAGGTCAGCTTGTGATACACATGAAACCCCCTCTCTCTTATTTAATTTATTTATTTTTTGTTTTTGTGGGTTTCTCCGTGTAGTCCTGGTTGTCCTGGAACTCACTCTATAGTCCAGGTTGGCCTCAGATTCACAGAGATCCACCTGCCTCTGCCTATGGAGTGCTGCAATTGGAGATGTGCATGCTGTCGCCCTGGGTGAAACCCTATTTCAAAAGAAAGAGAAAGGGAAATGGAAAAGTGGCAGGGGAGTGGGGAGGAAGAGGAAAAAAGCTGTAGATACTCAGGGGAGGTAGAGAGCTGGGGGGGGGGGGCTCTGGAGTCTGGGCCTTACCCTGATCTCGGTGCTCAGATTCTTCTGTTTTAGCTTTACAGCTTTTTCATGGGTGACAGTGAAGTCCCAGCAAAAGATGAGCTTTGCAATCCCTCTGGAGTATATGTGGGGGTTGATGAAGTTGTTCCGGAAGTACTTGGCCATGCTGGGGAAGGTAGAAACCAAAATGTCCCAGCATTATTATGGAGGTATTGAGGCATGCAGGGACCAGGCACGCATCACTCACTGATAGTGGAGGGCAACACGAACACTCCAAATTCTTCTCTTGAAGAAAGAAGAATTGTACAGGTGATGGGAACAGACAGGTGCAGCTTGTAAGCCTGCATTCTCCCAACAGAGGGATCTTTGCCCCATTAAGTATGAAGCTGAGCCTCAGTTTCCTCATCTGTGTGATGGGGACAGCAATAGGACAACCTCACAGAGATATTATGAGAATATCGTCCATGTCGCTACAACAAAAGATCCCCAAGCTATTGCTTAACACACAACAGGACCATAATCTCACATCTCTGGGGTCAGAAGTTTAGAAGTGGCTGGAGACATGCTGGCTGTCCAAATGTGAGGACCCAAGTTTGGACCCCCAGAGTCAAAAAAGGAGATGGATACATCTAAGAAGAGACCCAAGTGAGCACACATGCATGCATACACACACAGACAGACAGACAGACAGACAGACACACACACACACACACACACACACACACACACACACACACACGGATGGTGTAGGGCTGATAGCAAATGTCACAGGTTGGCCTCCTTCTGAAGGGTCTAGAACTGACCCCATTCCCTCGTCTTCTCCAGCTTCCAGAGGCTTCCCTCCGCCCTTTGCTTGCAGCCCCTTCTTCACTTCAAGACCAAGAGATAACAGGTTCCTTCCCTCCCTCTCACCTCTCTCTTTCTCGTTCAGGGTCCCTGTGATTATATTGGATCCACCTGGATAATCCAAGACACACCCACCCCCCACCTTTAAGATCTTTATAATCACATTTGTAGAATCCATGGGTTGTTTTGTTTTTGAGACAAATGTCCCTGTGTAGCCCAAGCTAGCTTGGAACTCACTATGTAGATCAAACTTGCAAAGGTTATCTTGAAGAATTGCAGGTGTCCACCTCCTTGGCCAGAGCCCCTTTGCCTTGTGCCATGGTTAATCTTTGCCAACTTGATTAAACTAAGAGATACCTACATTACTAAATCACACTTTGGGGTGTCGATGAGGATGTTTCCAGAGATGAAACCTAACTAAAGGGGAAAGGGCCACCATGAAAGTGGGAACATGGCAGTGCCCCAGATGAGACAAAAATGGGAGGAGGAGGCTGGCCAGCGCAGCTGGCTACTGAGAGGTAAGCAGCTTTGTTCCTTTACCAACTGTTCTGCTTCACCTTGGCCCAAGGACTATGGATCCGAGTGACCACAGACATACACCTTTGAGCTGTGTACTGCAACAGCTTTGTCACAGTGATGGAGAGGAACACACCACACAAAACAGTATGTCCAGGGGTTCTAGGACTTAGGAATTGGGAATCCTGGGGGGGGACATTAGTAAAACAAACAAAAAAACAAACAAACAAACCACAGGAGTCATGGCAGGAGGAATTCATTAGCCTCTGTTGTGAGATAAATGGAGTGCTTCAGAGAGGGAGTCCCTTGGCACATAGCTGGGTATGTTGTCAATATGCAGTGAAACCAGGAATACCTTCCCACAATGCATCGCCATTGGGTGACAGCTGAAAGAATGTGTTCTAGTTTGATAAGTCTCAGTGAGATCCCATTTTTTTTCTTTGAACAATGATGCTGGCAGGTGAATTATGAGGCACCCAAATTCAGACTTGAAAGCTGTAAGATCAGCATATGACTGTATTTGGAGACATGGTGTTTTAAAAAGTGGAAGTCAGAGTAAAATGAAGACTTCAGGGTGGGTCCTGATCGAATATGTTGCCATTCTTATTAGAAGAAATTAGGCCTGGGATGAAGTTCCTCTCCAGAACTGCAAAAGAAAATGGGAGGAGGAAGAAGAAGATGAAGAGGAAAATTAGGAAGAGGGGGAGGGAAAGAAAAGATAGAAGGAAGAAAGTAGGTAGAGAGGAGAGAGGTATTTAGAACCAGACAGTGGAAGACAAAGTGAAGACAGGGAGAAGGTGGTGCCCTAGTCAGCTTTCAATCAACTTATACAGAGAGTTTTGTCTTGGTTCACAGATTTAGATGCTTCTGTCAAAGTCTAGTTGCCTTGCAGCTCTGGATCTATGAAGAATATCTCATGACCTGCAAGAGGACCCTGAACAAATCTGCTCAGCCCACGGCCAGGAAGTGGAAAATCGAGAGCAGAAGGGGTTAAGGCCCCACAATGACCCAAAGATCTCCCATCAGACCCCACCTCTCACATCCTAGATCCAAGCAATGGCTACTGTCTTCTATAAGCTAAAGAGAGACTGCCTCAGAAGAAACCAACTTGGCTAGCTTCTTCATCTAGGACTATGGCTTCCAAACCTGTGAGAAGACAAGTTTCTGTTTCCCTAACCATCCATGGCACAGTCCTCTGAAAATGAATACAGAGGCTAACACACTCCTGTGCTCACTTTCCACCTGGACCTCCTCTCTGCCAACCCTCCTGCTAGACCCTACTTGGTCTAGCCTGTGGAATGGCTCGCCTGTCTCGTCCGTTTTCAGACTGATCGCCTGAGGGCCCATGAACACCCACCTCTCTTCTTCCCTCCCTCCCATCTTCTGCACTGCAAGGCAAGGAGCACACAGACAGCAGTAGGAAGTCAGCGCAGCAGGGAAGCTGGGCTCTGGGTTGGCTTCCTTTTAGAGACCAGGTCTCACTCTGTGGCCCAGGCTGGCCTTGAGCTCAAAATCCTTCTCCTTTACCATCCCAAAGGCTAGGATGATGGGTTTGCACCACTATACCCAGCTTCCTGGGTTACTGCTGCAGTTTCTCGGAGTTTGCTTAAATCTAAGCCTTAGGGGCTGGGGAGGCAGCTCAGATGGTGAAGTGTTTGCCAACCACGAACAGAATTCGCTTCCCAAAACCCATGTAAAAAGTAACCTGAGTATGGTGGTAAACACAATCTCTGCACTGGGGAAACAGGGACACTTGGGTCCCTGGAACTCATTAGCCAGCCACCTCAGCCTGCATGGCAAGTTCCAAGCCAGAGGGAGACCCTATTTAAAAAAACAAAGCAAGGGGCTGGAGAGATGGCTCAGCCATTGAGAGCACTGACTGCTCGTCCAGAGGACCTGAGTTCAATTCCCAGCAACCACATGGTGGCTCACAACCAGCTGTGATGGGATCTGATTCCCTGTCTGGTGTGTATGAAAACAGGGCACTCATAGACATAAAATAAAAAAATGAAATCTTAAGAAAAAAGAAAAAAACACTACCAAAAAGAAAATAAAACAAAACAAAACATAAGGAAAAGTACTTGGGGAACAACACCCAAAGTTGTCTCCTGACCCCCACAAACGTGCAGACACGTGTACATACAAAGGCACACGTGTGCACGCACACAAATAAAAGAAGCCTTAGAATCAGGCCAGAGTCAATACCTGAAGAGCAGACTGAAGAAGCAGACGACCAGGCAGGCTCCGATTGTGAAGATGTAGGCCAGCTGCATATTGTAAGATGCTCTGCCTGTCCCATGCCGGATGGTAGAGTTGGTGTAAAAGCCATAGTACATCACCGTGTCCCTGAAATAACCCTGCGGGGAACAGTAAAGAGATCCGAGTTCGGTGGTTCAGTAAGTGGCTGTACTGCAGTTATTCAGACATTCATGGACACTTCGTGGCGTCCCAGGAGATCAGCTCTGGGGCTGCTGCAGATAGCACCAACCGCAGAAGGAAGACAATTAGAGATGGCACGACATTTTCCATGCCTGTGTAGCAGCAGACTCCACTTTTTGTAATGTGGAGAAAATGACATATCTCTGTAGACTATTTTTCTTCCCATATAAACATCTACCCAGCAACTGATCAATCAGTAGATAAATGATAAATACTAGGTAAATAAGCAATCCATAAAGACTGGAAAAATGACTCTTTAAAAATAAAAGAGGGCTGGCATGTCCTTCATCTGCACAGTGCTTGCCTGGAATGTTCAAAGACTGAGGTTTGGTTTCCCTGCATGATAAAAAAAAATAAAATAAAATACATAAAAAGTATAAAAATAAAAAGGGTTAGGGTTATATTTTAAGCTTTCTTTTGCTTTTTTTTTTTTTTTTTTTTTTGCGCTTTACCATGCGTCTTGGGCAGTTTTATAAATCCACATTCTTCTTAGCATCAGTCAGAGAGGATCAATCCAGCTGCCTGTTGAAGCAACTAACCTCTACCCCATGAGCTGACCTTGAAGAGGTTTCTGCCCTCAGATTCTTTACAGCAGGGCTGTTAAAACTTACACCCCAAGGAAACTGCCTTTGCATCTCTATGATAAGAGTGCTTTTTACCTGTGTGTGTGCGTGTATGCCCGTGTGTGTATGTGGTGATTAAAAAAAGAATTAAAGAAGGAAGACATCCTCAGACATCAGCTCATTTTACTATGAAAATTACGAATCCATTCCCTATTATCTCTAGGCACAGTGGTGCATGCCTTTAATCCCAGCACTTGAGAGGCAGAGGCAGGTGGATCCCTGTGAGTTCAAGGCCAGCCTGGACCAGGACAGTCAGGGCTGTGTTACACAGAGAAACCCTGTCTCAAAACAAAAAACGAAACAAAACAAAACAAACAAACAAAAAAAAAAAAAACCCAAAACCAAAACAAAAAAACCAAACCTAAAAAAAAAACAAACAAAAACTTCAACCATTCCTATGGTCACATCACCATTATAATATTTAACAAGATTAAGGATAAATTTCCAAGGATAGAGCGATGACTCTGCAAATAAGAGCACTTGAGTTCAGTTCCTAGCACCCATGTCTGGCAGCTCCCAGCCACCCATAACTCCAGCTCCAGGAGATCTGATGCTCTCTTCTTGGTGAACATACACCCACACAGACACACACACATAGACATAAAGAAAAGTATCCTTCCCCCAATGGAGAATTAGACAAAAGAAAAAAGGGAGAACAGACTTTCCTTCATTTTTCTCTGTAGTAGGAATTTCCCAGAAGAGGACTGACTGTATTTTGTAGAAATAAAGAAAAGAGAAGCAGCGATTTCTAACCCAGTGTGTCCACTGCGAAATGCGAAGGGGAGAGAGAACAGACAGTGGCAACCTGTAAGGAACACTCATCTCTCCTGAGAAACAGAAGGATGGAGTGCCTGGTTCATGCATAGATGGTTCAAATGTGCAAAGAAATGGTGTGTGGCAAAACACCCTTTGACACTGGTTCCTGACCTCTGGCTGTTTCAGCGGCTCACCTCACAAGGCCATGCTTGAGGGAGAGCCAACCACTCCTCTGTCAGGCAGAATGAAAGGTTCAGATAACTGTGAGGCAAGCCCTGGGATTCCATGGTGTCACACTTGGAACTTACCGCCCCTGTGAAAAACTCCAAGCCCGTGAACTGGAGGGTGTTCCTCTCACCCACGGTGAATTGTGGGATGATGATGAAGCTGAAGTTCATGACGAAGGAGAAGATGTTAAACTTCAGAAGCCACCTCAGGAAGCTGAAATAGGACAGGACGCTAGTTCCAAACTTGCCTCCGATTACCTTGAATCTCTTCTGCCACAAGCTGATGGAACTGAGCTCTGAGAGGCTGCTCTTGGTTCTGCGGTAGGCCTGGAGGGGGCGGCAAAGACGAATCTTGATTCTCACTAAACAAGTGGCTCCCCACTGGGTGTTTGTAGTGGCCAAACAGCCCTGCTTCCAAGGCAGCTTTGAGGTGCACTTACAAAGGTGGCATTGCTCATGTTCGCAGAGACGCTCTCGGTACCCCTACTATCAACTTCCCAGGTTGTGCTTCCAGTGGCCAAAGTGGCCTCTAACTGAAAGACCCCTGCCTCACCCTAAGTTAAACATAGCTATGAGAAACTCTGTAGGCTAGGTGGGGAACTGGAAAATTACTGAGAAACCTAGCTGTGTCACCCACTTGGGATATCTGCGGTCAGGCTGCCCCAGTCATACTAAAAACAGTTTGTGTTAATCACCCTCATAGATATCTGTGAGACTGTTTCAGTTAAGATAGAAAAAACCAAAATAACAGGTGGCGGGCCACGTCAAGGGGTCATCATAACCCCCTTGACCACCCAGTTCCTGGAATCTTGGTGCCCCTGCCAAACTTTGACGCAAATTGTGGTCTCGTGTAAACGTACCAATCAGCCCCCTGTAACCATGCCTCTCGCTTCTGTACCAGTGCTTCTGCTCTAAAACCCTATAAAAACCCCAGTTTTTCCCCAAGGAGGGACGCAAAGTCCTTTCGAGTGACTTTCGCCCCGGGTACCCGTGTATCAAAATAAAAGCTTCTTGCTGTTTGCATCCGAATGGACTCGTTGTTCCTTGGGAGGGGGTCTCTCAGACGAAGGATACCCTCTGGGGATCTTTCATAACATCCTACCTTCCCGGTCCCGACCATTTTACTCCTGCAGCTATGTGTTAGCCCGTAGAGTCTCAACGTTAGCTCCCCTTCCATTCTCCCCACCCTCCTCCTCTAACCTAAGATCTCACTGCTGTCACTCTTGCTGAGTGACCCTTCCCTCCATTGCCTTCCCATTCTGACCTTTGACCTCGACACTGTCACCCCTTTGCAGAGTTTAGCGCATTCACAATGAAATGCAAATTAGTTTACCCATGTGGATGAGCTCCAAAAAGAAATAAATATAAAACTGCTGATTTATGCAGCCGCTCCCTTCCCAGTATGTGTGCTGGTTAGTTTTTGTCAACCTGACACAAAACTAGTTGTATCTAGGAAGTGGAGACCTCAATTGAGGAAATGCCCCCATCAGATTGTTTGTAGCCAAATCTTCTGTGGGGGCATTTTTCTGAATAATTGGAGTAGAGTAGGGTGCTCACTGTGGGCTGTGTTACTCCCGGGCAGGTGGTCCTGAGCTGGATAAGAAAGCAGGCCTTGCAAGCCATGGGAAGCAGCACTCCTCCTCGGCTTCTGCCTCGCTTCCTGCCTCCAAGTTCCTGCCTTGAGTTCCTTCCCTGGAGTCCCTTCACCATGGACTGTGATCTCAGAAATATAAGCCAAATAAACCCTTCCTCTCCAAGTTGCTTATGGTGCTTTATTATAATAGTAATAAAGCAGAAAGCAAACTAGCACAGTATATAATGAAAAGAAATGAAATCAGCACACCAGCGGAGTTCCTATAAGCACCATATGCAAGAGCTAAGATACAGAATTAACCCAGGAGTCCACAGATATGTTAACTGGTCTTTGCTACTTTGTGGCTTCTTTGTTCCACCCTTGATTTCCCCAGCTTCACCCCCTAACACTAGACAGGAGAGAAACAAGGATAGACGGGAGAGAGGAAGTGGGAAAATTGCTGAATCTAATTTCTTCGGTTCTGTTTCCTATTTGACCATAGTTACTAGCAAATGCCACCAATCTCTCTAAATGACCACCAACCAGGCCTCCCCAGGGCCCTTGCATTTATGTACCCTCTGAAAAGTTCCCAGAATTCCAAATGTCACACAATTGCAGAAATTATCTGCAGTCAGCAAGACTATGCTTCTGCTAGAGCACGAGGCAAACCATAGTCAGCCGCTTCGGACAGTCGGAAACAGCCTCACCTCCCTACACTTGGGATTAAAAACAAAACAAAACAAAACAAAAAAAAGCACAATCGTTTAAAAAAAAAAACAACAACATGATTCCAGAATTCTTAAAAATGTCACTGCACGGATGGGTAAAGACAATGCAGTGTGTGTGTGTGTGTGTGTGTGTGTGTGTGTGTGTGTGTGTGTGCACGCATCAGCTACAAAGAATGAAACCTCATCATTTGCTGCAATGTGGATAGAACTAGAGAACATTATGTAAAATCCAGACACAGAGAGACAAATACTGAATGTTCCCTCTCATTTGTGGAAGAATGTGGACTAGTGATTACTAAAGGCTGGGATAGAGAGGGACTGAGATAAGATGTACTGAGTGCTGGTGGTTCACAGTGGAATGACTGCAGCTCATGATAGCCTAGCATGTATTTTATAAGGATCTAGGAGGGAGCACCTCAAGGGCCACAGTAGAGTGAGTGCATGCTTAGCATGTGTGGCCATGGGTTCAACCCTCAGCACTGGGAAGGAAGAAAGACAGGAAAGGTGGTGGAATGAGGGAAGAATCAAAGAAGGCAGGAAGGAAGAAGAGAGGAAGGAAGGAAAGTGTGGAATGCCATCCTCTGGGTATGGCACGGCCTTTGCACTCTTAAACTCTCTCAGCAGCTGTGAGCACTCTAAAGAGAGCTGTGCAAGACTGGACCCATTTACTTTCCACGGTGAACAAGAGGCCTGGCTCCTCCCATAAGATACATAGGCAGTTAACAGCTGCTGGGGAGAGGGGTTCCCATGCAAGGCAGTTTAGGGTTGCTGGGGAAAGAGACTTCTTCAGTGGTGAAGCAGCCTGCAAGTTGCTAAACTGACTGGGTTCACCAAGCTAATTGTCTGCAGTGAACAGAAGTTTGTTCATCTCCTCAGGAAAAGTTCACATACCAGGAGGACAGGGACAGGAAAATGCTAACTAAACAGACTTGATCCTCAAAGGCTGTGTGCAGGTGTCGAAATAGCACATACTACAGCAGGAACATACAAATTAAATGTTAATAGGAAAAAAACCTCGGTTGTTTGAGATCAGGTATCACTATGTAGTCCTGGATGACCTAGAACTCATTATGAAGACCAGGCTGGCCTCCGGCTCAGAGACCTGCCTGCCTCTGCCTCTCTACTGGGATTAAAGGCATGGAAAAAAATGTTTTTAAAAGTTCATTTACCAGCCAGGGCACGGTGGTACATGCCTTGTAATCCCAGCACTTGGGGAGGCAGAGGCAGCCAGATCTTGAGGCCAACCTGGTCTACAATGGGAGTCCAGGACAGCCAAAAGGCTACACAGAGAAACCCTGTCTCAAAAAAAAAAAAAAAAAAAAAAAAAAAAAAAAAAAAAAAAAAAAAAGCTGACATACCAGTGCAAGCGAGCTCAGACACTGAGCACAGCAGTTAACCTCCAGGATGCCATGGGACTGTTTACTCTTTTCTTTGTCGACTATTTTTCTGTGGAAAACAGGAGGAGAAAAATAAAGGACATCAATGTCAGTCATTTCCACAAAAAACTCTCTGTTCCTGGACGTGGAGACCCCATCTTGTAGTCCCACCCTCTCTGGTGGCCAAAGCAGAATCCCAGAATCCCAGGTCTCAAGGGAATTGGCACTGCAATTACAAAAGAGTGGTCACTTGCGTCAGCTTGTCCATGGGTTCTGGTGATGTAAGTTGGGTCCTCATGCTTGTGTGGCGTCATTTTCCAGCTGAGCTTTCTCTACAAATGTCTCCTTTTTGGTTTTTTGTTCTGTTTTGCTCTGCTTTGCTTTGTTTTTAGCGAATTCTTAATTTAGAGTGGTTTGAAATTTGCAATAAGCTTTCAGGCTGTGTAGAGCGTTCCCATATGCGTTCTCACAGGTTTCCCTGTTAACTCTTAACTTTCCATTGGTAGGTGAGGTGGCTTGAATGAGATAATCCCCAGAGTTTGGGGGCATTTGGACACACAGTTCCCAGTTAGCCGCACTCTTTGAGAAGTGTGGTCTTGCTGAATGAAGTACATCACTGTGGTGGGCTCTGAGGTTTCAAAGACTCGGGCCATTCCCAGTTGCTCTCTCTGCCTTCTTGTGGTTCAAGATGAGATCTGCCAGCTACTGTTCCAGCCACCATCCCTTTCCTCTGCCATGATGGACTCTAACCCTATAGAACTGTGATCCCAAATAAACTCCTGAGTAGCTTCTGCCATGGTGTTTTATCACACCAGCAGTAAAGTAATGAATAGAGAAAGTTTGTCAAAACAAAGCCAGCATTTGTGTGTCCTGGTACCTCGACTCCCAAGGCTTGCTTCAGAGGGTCCCAATTTCTCCTCCCAGCCCTCCCAGGCCCCACACATTACATTTGCCATCCTTCGTCTTTCCAATCCTCTACTTCATATTAAGTTCTTGGACTTTCCTTGCGTTTGGTGACCTAAAGATGTCGGAGTCAGAGATTTCAGAGAATCTGCCTGATGAATATCTCTGGTTAGACCAGGGTCAGGACTTTAGGAGAGAGGATCACAGAAGGCACTGGCCTTCTCAGAACAAGCCTTATCTTTGAAAAAGCTAACTCAAGCAAGTACCTGGCCTGGGCAGTGGGAACTAGAACTCACTGGAGATGAGCGTTTTCTCCAGAGAATCCTTTTTGGAAGCAGTCTCAGACCAGGGTGCACACGCCCTCCAGGGAGGCAGGTCAAGCCTGAGAGCCCTTAACAAGCTATGCATGGCCGGACATGTGTCTAGGAATCCTAGCACACAGGAATAGAGGTGGAAGGATAAGAAGTTCAAGACAATCTTTGGTTATTTGACAAGTTCAAGGCCAGCCTGGGCCACGTAAGAGCCTGTATCAACAAAACAAAAAACAAAACAAAACAAAACAAAACAAAAACCTGGATGAAATACACACCTTCATTTGAGAGCTCTGAAGGCCGATGCAAACGGATCCTAAATTTGAGGCCAGCTAGAGCTACGTAATAAACGCTTTCTCAAAAGAGGGGGAGGAGCATCCACCCTGTAAGGGTTCTCCTTACAGAAGAACTGTCTCCTGCGGTATTCATTTCTTATCTTGTTGAAATGGGACACAAGCAGTAGACTGAGGCTCTCATACAGGAAAAATGGCCTCACCTAAGCTGTCTCTTCTCTTCCATGGTCCTTGGCTGGTTCCTGATGGTTTTGATTCTGTCTCTAGATGTCATGGGGACCAGGGATGCGATTAGTTTTTGTCCTGCAGAAGAAAACAGAGTTCTGTTTCTTTTTTTCTTTAACACAGTCTTAACATTTTAAAAGGTGACACTAGAGTGAGGCTTGGGAGTGCATGCGTACAATCCCAGAACCTGGAAGCAGAGGCAGAAAGACATCAAGTTCAGAGCTAGCTTGAGCTACATAATGAGATCAAAGCCAGTTCTGGGTGGGAGGGGAGTGGTTTGAGTGGGATGTCCCGTGAAACCATGGTGGCAACGACTTTTCCTGAGCCTCAGTTTCCTCATTAAGCCTGCCTCAAAGGTGGCAGGATATGAGAAAAAAATACAGCTAAAATTCAATGCCTAACAAAATTAAACTTGACGGCTAAACTCCAGGCACATGAATCAAGGTTGTCTGGAAAATAAGCTCTCAGTAAGTAGGTCTCAAGTGCCACTTCTCTTCATCCCCAACATTCTTCACGGACTGTGCCCCTTGAAAATGAGTTGAGCTTTTTTTGTTTTTAATTAAAGGCTGAGGAAATGGCACAGTAGTTAAAGTGCTTGCTATGGGAGTGTGGATAGCTGCTTTTGGATTTCCAGGACCCCTGTAGAAATCTGGGAGCAGCAGCACACAGGTGTCATCCCAGCAGTGGGGAGCAGACACAGAAGGAGCCCTGCAGTTGCCGGTTAGTTGACTCCAGGAGCTGAAGTTTCAGTAAGAGACCCTGACTCAAAAGAATACAGTGGAGGGACCAGCGTGAGATGGTAAAAGCCCTTACTGTGCAAGCCTGCCTTCCTGAGTTCAATGCCCAGAGCCTGGACCCCAGGGAAAGGTGTGTGTGTGGGTATTGACTTCACTAAGCTGTTCTCTGATCTCCACACATACACAATGTTAAGTGCACATACATGTACACACACATGCCCCTCCCACATACACGCATACACACATATACAACAACAACCTGTAGACAATATTAAACCTACGTTCCTAACTTTTCTGGAGCATTCTATACCTTGAACAGTTTCATGGAAAGTACAGGCTTCATCCACGCCCTCTGGGCCATGATAGATCTGAGATATCGATTCATTCAGGGATGAAAACCTCAACAGCCGGTTGTGTCTTCTGTCGTTCCCATGGCTGAAAATCTCACCGTCTGTGGCGTCCGCTGCCGCTGATTGTGAAAACGTGCTCAAGGTGGAGTTTGCCGATGACTTTCTCAGAAAAATTTGACTTGAGGCTAGGTGGTTTCGGACCCCAGAGGGAACAGTCTCCACTTCTATGACGATTTCATTCCCTTGGTTATCTGACAGCATCTCTTGTCTCTGAAGACTCTTGTTCTTCACAGGGTTGGTCATCAAAGGCCTCATATGTATTCATATTGGCATGGCTGGGCCCGCCGGGGAAGAGTGATGACATTGGAGAAAGGACGTCCCATTCAAAGAGCTCTACACAAATTACAACATGCCTCCTGCTTCTGTCCCCTGTGGGGGCTCCTCAGGAGGAGATGTGTTTCCCTACAGAGAATTCTGCCTTGGTAGCTAAGTGAGCAATTATAAACAGAACCCTTCACTAAAAACAGTGGGGTTCTAGAAACAGAAGGTGGGGAGTCTTCTAAATGACCTGTAATCACAGGACAAGGTCTTTCTTTTCAATTTTACATTCGTCATTTGATATGTTCATTTTGGGGCAGTGAGTAAAGGCACTTGCTGCCAAGCCCAATGACCTGTGTTTAATTCTCCACATGATGGAAGGACAGGACTGATTCCTGCAAGTTCCCCTTGCCCTCCACACCTGAGCCCACACACGCTAATAACTAATTGTTTGTCTATCTAAACCCACGTGAGTTCATAACATTATCAGTATCTTCTCACCACCTCAGGTCTGCCTTCTGATACCTATCCTCCTCAGGCCAGCAGAAGCTCCTGTACACAGGGCTCAGTCAAGATTTTTCCCAGCTTCCTTTGCAGCTAGGGTAGCCATATGACCCAGTTTTAGCCAATGAGAATGCAGCTTTGGGAATTTAGAAAGAGTTGGGTTGCTTGGCTTTTGTTCTTTACCACCCTTCTGCCTTTGTGCCTTCTTGTTTGGAAACCAATTAAGTCAATATTCATCTGCTAAGGATGATGGACAGAAGGAGGACATCTCAGCCCTTGAGAGCATCATGGGAATAGCTTCTCTATTGAATTACTCTCTCCATTCTTCCTGTTCCTTGAGAAAAAATTAATTCTTTATCACTAAGCCATTGTTCTGCCTCAATGCCAGAAATGTGAACAGAATTCTTGTGCAGACCCAATTCGCAAGTGGACCTGGACCAACTTGCTCATATTCTTGACCATTCATTCTGACTAAAGCAGCAGGGATTGGCTTCCCTGCCATGGACTCCCTTTGTAAACTTTGTATACTTCGTAAGCGTTATAAACCCTCAACCTAGGAAAATGGCCAGGTTCCTGTCTGAGTTGCTCCAGCAAGCCAGGCCCCTCCCCCAGACCTCTCTAACTACCTTAACAGCATTTCCAGCCTCTGTAACTGTCACAAAAGTCATCTCCAGCCCCTCAATGGGACCCATCCCAGATTATCCTAACTTTAGGTGAAGTGTCTGAATAAAATGTCTCACCAATCCCTGAGCAGGAAAACCCACCAATCCCTGAGATTCCTTCCCTTAACTTAGGTCTTGAAATTCTAACAATCCTCACCCCAGAAATCTCTGCTTTAGAAAGTTCCATCCCCTGAGAAGTCCTATATAAAGGCTGCATCTCCTCAGTTCCCTGCTGTCCTCACCTAGGAGAATGAGCAGCCCACCCTAGATCCATCCCTTTACACCCTGGACCTTCCCAACAAATATCTTGTGAGATTTGCTACCTGGTGTGACTCTCTTATCAGAAGAAGCCAAGAAACAATGAACAGAAGGGAAGAAGCAAAGAAGTGGAGTGGGGCTGAGGCTCCTGAGCTCCTCAACTTAGCTGGGGATACCCTCCCCTAGAAGCTGCGACATCTCTGTCGAAGAGGCCTCTTCTCAGAGCTGCGTGGTTCCTGGGCTCCTGTGTCTCAGGATGCCCTTCTATTGGAACACTGTCCCACCTCAGAGCTGTGTGGCTCCTAGGCTCCTGAGTCCCAGAATCTCCTACTATCTGAGAAGGAAGGCCAACAGTTTTCCAGTGGGTTAAACTGAGGGCAGAGAGATGAACGGACATACTTGGTCCACTAATTCCTACTCAATGTCAGGTTTGGACAAGGACTCCATATCTCCTCCCCACGTGGTCATCAGCATCACCAGACCTGCCTTTGCCAAGGCAGATGCTTACAGGTACTTTAGAGCAGAGGTTCTCAACCCTCCTAACAATGTGACTCTTTACTATACTCCCTCGTGTTGCGGTGGCCCCCAACCATAAAATTATTTTTGTTGCCACATCATAAACTGTAACTTTGCTATTGTTGCGGATCATAACATAAATATCTGCATCTTCTAATGGTCTTAAATGACCCCTGTGAAACGGTCACTGTGGAGGACCACTGCTTTAGAGTATGCTACTCAGGTTTTCACAACTACCCCATTTCGTAGCTTAGTAAAAACCTGAGGCTAAGATGTCAGACAGAAGTGGAGCTAAAGCTTCAGCCATGGTGGTCTGAACCCAAAGACGGAGCGCTTGAATACTCCACCTCTGTCCCCTCCTGGACAAGGTGCTAATGGGTCTTCATTCATCACTCATTCATAAAGTAGCAAGTACTTCCTGGTGCCTGCTCTGTGCCAGGGTCATTAGCAGAATCCATAAGCGGGACGCATTATCAATCAATTGATGTGTGCTTTGAAAGTCAGAAAACGGAGAGATAAAAAGCTGAGTCTTCTAGTTCTTCACACCTCTGCCTCTGGGGTCCTCTTAGTCAAATCTCAGGCTGGGTGGACAGAGCAGCATTATGATGGCCATGGCACTGTGCTACCCCGGTGGTTAAAGCCAGTCTCTGCTCCACTGATAACACCCTGCCAGGCTGAGGTGTCTACCTCTTGTAAAAGTTACACTCCAGCTTGGGAAGGCTCTGGAAGGATGAGTCTGAAGGCTGCTCATAAGAGGTGGAAAAATAGCAGAGAAAAATAGCTTTATGTTGCGGTGTCCCTCAGTTTGAATTATGATGGGAGAACCCGTGTGTGTGTTGCTCTTTATAAACAGGCTTGCCTTGGTAATGGCGCTCCCTGGTGTCTCTCTGACAGCTTCCACGAGGTTTATTGATTTCTGACTCTAATTAAAACCTTCCTTGCCATACCTGAGGGTATTCAGTCTCCTAATATTTCCAAGCCTTCCGTCTTTTGGAAGACATTGTTCATTGTATGTTTTTAGGTAAGCCTGAGGACGTGAGTTAAAATCCCAGTATTCACATAAATGCCGAGTCCGCTTTCCTCCCGTAATTCCACAGCTTTGGAGGCAGAGATAGGATTTAGGAACGCCAAAAGCTCCCTTGTGTGAGGAAAGGGAGATGCCTCAGCTGTTGAAGTGGTTTTTGGCCAAGCCTGATGACCTGAGTTCAGTCCCCAGCACAAACATACTAGAAGGAAAGAACTAACTCCCCAAGTTAGGTCTCTGATTTCCGTATGTGCACTGTGACACACACACACACACACACACACACACACACACTCACACATACATTCACACCACACACAAATAAGAAAAAAGAAAACAAATCCTCTGTCCTTCACTGTTCTCTGTACTTTCATCCACATTCTGCAAGCTGCTTGATTATTTCACAGTTTATTTCTGGACTTTGTCCCCCGACATTAGCCTTGAGACAGGTGCTCCTATCTTGTCACCTATAGTGATATGATTGGTTCAAGTGTGGGCATGTGTTCCTTGTAGCATTGGACAGCCAGGGAGGAAAAGAATCCTTCTAAAGGATAACTATGCTGAGGGGCATCTGTGGGTCTGATAGCCTGACCTTGACGTCTATGAAGGTCAAGTTTAAAGAGAAGCTGAGCCAAGCAGAGGTGAGAGATGGATGAGTAATAAGTCCAGTGGCACTCAGCCCTGGCTTCGGGCTCTAAGGCCATGGTTTCTGTACTCACAAACTGACCAGCAAAGATCTCTAACCTACCTATATTATGTGTCAGGCACTGTATGGGGAAGCGAAAGCTATCATGACTGTCTTAAGTTCTTAAGTTTTCCTACGCCTTTCTCCCATAAACCAATATATTTCTTGCTAATAAACTGGGTTTCCATTATAACACAAAAGATTTTTTAGTGTGTTTTATGTATATATATGTACGTACCCAGTGTGTGCATGGGAACACTCATCCATACAAACGGGCACATGTGAAGGCCAGGGTTGATGCCATGATATATATCTCCTCTGTTGTTCTCCATCTTATTTTTATTGTCTCTCAGCTGAACCCGAAGGTTGCCATTTTGGCTAGACTGGCTACCCGGTTAATTCCCAGGATCCACCTGTCTCTTTACACCAGCGTTTAGTTCCAGGCGCTTGACTTTATACCTGGCATTTTATTATGAGTTCTTGGGATTCAAACTCAAGTCCTCATGCTGCACACCAGGCACTTTACCCACTGGGCCATCATCTCCTCAGCCCACAGCCAGAAGATTCCTAGTGAGGATACCTTGATTCTTAGACAAGGGAACCTGCATTGTCTAAAAGAACACTCTAATTGCTGAGGTTCAAGGGTAAAGCGTGTGTTTGCACACACTTTGTTGAACCACTCACAAGAGCCAGGTTCAATCCACACAGCAGAAGAGGGAAAGAAGGTGGGGAGGGATAGATGGATGGATGGAGGCAAGGAGAAACCCTTATGACAAATGAAGCCTTAGTACATCCATTAGAAGTCCAAGGGCCTAGATGAAATGCCATTTCCAGTAGCTGGGTTGCCTTGAGACCAGTCCTTCCCCGGGGTGGCCTTTTTAGTGAGACTCACCTTGGAGTGATGTGTGCCAATCACGCTCACACAGCAGCAGGTTTCTGACTGCACAGACAGGACTACTTCCTTCCACATATGCAGTGTTCACTGCAACGAGGAGGAGAACATGTTAAAGTTACTTTTATAACATTGTGTCTATAAGATAAATGAGACTCTATCATGTTATTTTAACAAGTGTCATAGCACAATAACTGAGAAGTTATTATTCTATTCTTAACCCTTTAAGCTAATCTGGCTTCCTCCTGGCATACATCCCAGAGACACTTGCACTTTGTGGCTTTCTCTGCTGAGCTGTCTCTGCAATGTCTCCTACTTCCTCCTTTAACTCTTCTTCCCCAGCTGGCAGAAAGCCCACCCCAATTCTTTCCCCTGCTCAGCGATTGGCTGTAAGCTATTTTATTTGCATAAAGGGAAACCAATGAAGAGCGGTGTTTATACAACACTGAGACAGGATAACCTCAGAGCAAGGATTGCAACTAAATATGGGGGGGGGGGTACAGAAATCAGCATGTGAATTACACAGTGACCTTATATCTACAGCAACATAGCCAATCAGGCCTTCTTCCACACTAGACGCTGAGGGACACATGATGGCTGAATGTGCTCACAGCGCCTAGGAAGGGTCACCCACTCGAGGACTTTGCCTTTGAGGTCCTACAAAATCCAAGATTAAGAACTTGGGTAGAATATAGGATAAAAATACAAAAAAAAAATCATACAATCAAAACTAGACAGGGGCTGGAGAGGTGGCTCAGTGCTTAAGAGCACTGGCTGCTTCTTTTTCAGATGATCCGGGTTTGTTTCCCAGCATGCATGCATGCCGAGACTCACAACCACCTATAACTAAATGTCTAGGGGATCTGGCGCCCCCTTAGCCTCTGAGGGCACTGCTCATTATGTGGTGCACAGCCATAAACGCAGGCAAAACACTCATATACATGAAATAAAAATCAAATCAAATCAAATCTCAATTTTTAAAAATCAAACTAATACTTGTGATTCGGCACAGAATCATGCTTACGTAACTGAAAAACATTCCACAAAACTGCATGTTAAAGGCATACACTTGAGTTTATGTACTTAGGTTTTAACTTTTTATCTCAGTGTACAATGGACGGCACTTGTTAATAAGTTACAGGTCACACAGAGACCGTTCGCACAGGTGAGCACAAAGGTTCCTTGAAGCAGTGGTGTTTTGTGACAGCACGCAGACTAAGTATGGCCTGGTTTTCCTCGGGACAGAGTCCACTCCCTGCATCTCGGTGACAGTTTCACATCCCCATATGCCTATGTAATCCATGCTAAAGGCAAACAACACAGATTGCGGCCACTTTTGAAGGGGACGTGCCTGAGGTTCTAGAACTTCTTGCTTGGGAGTAATCCCCAGCTGTTCGCCCCAGGCATGTTACTTAACATCTCTGAGCTTCGCTGTCATAAAATAAAATGTGATAAAGTATCATCAAATGTAAAACAGGGATGGCAACCTGACTTTTACTCGGGGGGGCTGCTGGTGGAGCAATCTGTTAAGACATGTGAAAACGCAACTGACTCTTGACACAGGCTAACCAGACAGACAGATCCTGTCCTTCAAAGCCATTCCTAGCACTCCCCCACCTCCCACCCCTACCCCCACCCCCACTCATCAATTCTGCCTGTGCGGCACAGCACTGGCTCACACCCTGTGCTGTTCTCAGCTGATCCATCTCCATTTCCCTTTCCTTCCCTTTTCCTCTTTTTTTTCTCCTCCTCCTTCCTTCCCTTCTGTCTTTGCCCTCTCCCTGTCCCTCCCCTCCCCTTTCCCTCTTTGATCTTCAGGGATGACACCTGGTTTCCTAGGCACCAAGTTCTCTGTGGGTGAGAAGGACCTCTGAGGGGAGGAGGAGCAGATGCTGCAGCTGCCACATGCCTTTAATCACTGCCTTTTGCTTTCTTCCTGGGACACTAATGCCATCTCAAAACACACTTACCGTTGCCATTTCTAGGATCACCTGGCAGAGAGTGGTCTTGTGGACCTGCCATTTCCATGGATGCCATTTCAATGCTTTCGGGGTAGTCTTCATTTTCTCTCCCTTGTGCGCCAAAGGGGCCACTGCAAGGAAATAGGAAATAGGGATCATACTAAAGTTGTTTGGCTGAGTGCCTTTAAATCCCCAAAGGATGGCTGTGTGTGATAGTCCATCTTATTGTCACCTGGACTGGATTGAGAAGGCCTTGGAAATTCGTAAAGGACACCTCTGGGGGTGTCTATGAGGATCATTTCCAGAGAGGATTATCTAAGGGGAAGACCCTCCCTGAATGAGGGTAGCAATGCCCATAAAGGGTTGGGGCAAATGGAATCCAAGGGGAACCAGAAGAAATAAACCTGAATGCATATTCTCTCTTTACTCTCTCTCTCTCTCTCTCCATACCTCCCTCCTTCCCTCTATCCCTTACTCCCTCCCTTTGCCCCTCCTCTCCTCCCCTCTCTTTTCCTCTCCCATCTCTCTGCTCTTGGCCACTGTGATGTGAAATGCTCTACTTCACATTCTCTGCTCTATGTTGGGCTGAAACTTTTGAAACCATGAGACAAAATATATGTTTTCTCATTTAATTTGCTTATGTCAATTTGTTGTTGTTGCTTTTGTTTGTTTGTCACAGTGGCAGAAAGTCTCACTAACACGATCCCATTCTGTCTGGCAAGATAAGGGTGACGATCCACTCATCCATCTATTTGTCCATCCATCACTCATTCACCCTTTTCATTCACCACCCATTTATACATAATCTACCCATCGGTCCATCCATTCACAATCCATCCAGTCGTCTGTCTTACAATGCTGGCTAGAGACACGTTTTTGTTTTAATCCCAGGTGTGGGAGGCGGGACAGGTTCAGCTAGTCCACAGCAGCAGACTATTTGCCTCATGTGGGCTTTGAGAGGAGCGCTTTGCCAGATGAAGATAGTTTAAATCTGAGGACACTGGAGAGAGAATAAATGCCACAGACCAGAAAGTGTAGAGGAGCCCTGAGAAAGAACAAAGCTGCTGCTGCTTCCCCCCTGCAGTTCCAGGTTGCTGTTGATGCAGTGAGACAGGAAGTTGGAGATCTCCTGAAAGGAGGATTGGACTGGCTCCAAGGAACCCAACAACCATAACCAGCAGGAAGCAGCTAAGAGAGCTGTGCCCCATCTCCCTCTAATCCTTTCTCTCTTCTACCTGGGAAGTTGGAAGGTATTGGGATGGAGTAGGAAGAAAGAGACATAAAAAAATGTAAATAAAAGAGTTTTTTAAAAGTATGCCAACATTATGACGCTGACCAAAGGCCAGCCTTGTGTTAGGAGTGAGGAAGGCACCAAGCATACAAAGAGAAAGACATGTGGTACTTACCCCGAAGGAGCTTCCCCTCACAGCCTATTTTTAAATCCAGCTATGAGCAATTACAAGTAGAAACTAGTCAGTAAAGGCAGACCTGAATTGTTCAGAGGAAGGATGGGGGCTACTCAGGCTGGAAGGCTACATGGAGAAGACACATCTCAGAAGGAGCTGGGAGACAGCTCCAGAGCCATCAAGAGAGCGCACTGCAGAGACAGGGAACAGCAGAAACACAGAGCCAGAAAATACTGACAGTAGGAGCAAATGCTGTAAAAAATCAAGTAACCTAGGGCTGAGGAGATGCTCAGAGGGCAGGGGCATGTGTGTGCAAGCATGAGGAGCTGAGTGAGTTTGAATCTCCAGCATTCACAGGAAAGCTGGGAATTATGACCCCAGCACTGGAGGGCAGAGATAGGTGGATCCCTGGAGCTCATTGGCCCCAACCTCGCCAAAACAGTGAGCTTCAAGTCCAATGAGAGACCATTGGAAGACACCCAAAGTCCTACATGCACAAGCACAGGTACACACACACACAGAAAAAAAACATTTAAACTGTAGCAATGATGTATATGAGTCAATACATAAGCCCTCATCCTAGACAACTGAATCAAAAGCTTGGGCCAAGATCTGTTTCATTTTTGTATTATTGTTGTTGCTGCTGTTATTATTGTTATTATTATATTATTATTATTTTTTGAGATAAAGTCCTAGTATGTAGCTCAGGCTGGCTTGAGCTTGCCTAGATTCTTCTGCTTCTGCTTCCCAAGTTATATTATTATCACCATTATTACTACTGTTATCATTGAGGCAGGGTCTGACCACGTAGCCCTGGCTGGCCTGGAACTCATTATATGTACCAAGCCTCAAACTCACAAAATATACCTGCCTCTGCCTCTTGAGCACTGGGATTAAGATGTGTGCCACCATGAGAACTGATAGACTAAGATCAGAAATAAGGAGAGGAGGACCTTCCCTATCAGTGGACTTGGGGAGGGGCATGCATGCAGAAATGGGGGGAGGGTGGGACCGGGAGGGGAGGAGGGAGGAGCTTATGGGGGGATACAAAATGAATAAAGTGTAATTAATAAAAGTTAAAAAAAAAGATGTGTGCCACCACACTCAGCTAAGTTTTATATATATATATGTTTGTGTGTGTATAATAATTATACATATTATTGCTTACCATAATTACATATGTTATTACTTATTTTATGTATTTGTTTGTGAATATGTATATATATATGTGTGTGTGTGTGTGTGTGTGTGTGTGTGTGTGTGTGTGTGTGTGTGCCAGAACGTTTAGGTAGTTGTGAGCCACCCTGTGGGTGCTGGGAACCAAACTGGCATCCTTTGGAAGAATGAGCAGTAAGTGCTCTTAACTGCTATCTCTCTATCCCTAGTTATATTATTTTTAAAGGACTCCAGGTAACAGAGCAATTCTAACAAGCAGCAGAAGTCCACTGACTTGGAGCACTTGTCTGAGGTAGAGGGGACGGGAGCAAAGCCAGCTGGTCTGGGGCTGGCACCGTGTGCTTGTGTTGACAGTCTGTGGCTTCATCTTCCCAGTCTGTAAGTGAAGGACCATAGCCTCCATCACAGGCTGGGAGGACCCACAGGAGATGAAAAGAAAAGTACTGACAGGATGGCCACTCCAAGGACGGCTCTTGGAAGGGTGACTCAGACAGTCAGAGGTGGCCTGGTCCTGTGGGTCCACTATTTAGGTCCTAAAGACATTTGTCTGATGGCTGCATACCAAGTCCTGTGTCCTTGTTCCTTAAGATAAATGCAAGCCACTAGGATCTTGTTATTTCTTTCTTCTTCCTTTCCCTCCCCTTCTCCTTCCTTTCTTTTCATCCTCCCTCCGTCTTTTTTTTTTTTTTCTTTTGAGAAAAGGTCTCACTATGTAACACAGTCTGGCCTTAATGTCACAATCCTCCTGCCTCAGCCTCCCAAGTGCCCAGATTATGGGAATATATTACCACTTCTAAGATAGCTATTTAAAAAAAACGCTCAAATTTATAAATATTATATTTGAAATGGTACATATAAAATAAGACCTATATCAGTTAAAACTCCACATGACTAAATGCATACATTAATGACAACAACAACAAACAAACAAACAAAAAACAGAAGAAATAAGTATTGTTGTTGACATGACCTCTGGAAAAGTTAACCCAGGAAAATCAGATTTGGCCCAGCTAAGGCACCCAGCCAGTGCTGTCAAGGTCTGAAGTAGTACCTGATAGGGGTGACCAAAAATAGCAGAAGAGTGCTCAGAGAGGCAGAGGCAGGCAGATCTCTGGGAGTTTGAGGTAGCCTGCTCTACAAAGTGAGTCCTGGCCAGCCAAGGCTACACAGAGAAAACCTGTCTCAAGAAAGAAAGAAAGAAAGAAAGAAAGAAAGAAAGAAAGAAAGAAAGAAAGAAAGAAAGAAAGAAAGAAAGAAAGAGAGAGAAAAAGAAAGAAAGAAAGAAAGAAAGAGGGAGAGAAAAAGAAAGAAAGAAAGAAAGAAAGAAAGAAAGAAAGAAAGAAAGAAAGAAAGAAAGAAAGAAAGAAATGTAGAAGCTAAAATCCTTTATCCCACACAGACTGGTGAACTGAGTGCTTGATCTTCAGCTGGTGTCAGTATTTTAGGGGGGTTCTGGAAACTTTGGGAGAAGAGATCTGGCTGGAGAAAGTGGGTCACTGAGGATGGGATCTTGTTTCTGCACCTCTGACCATCTACCTGGTCTCAGTCTCTTTGCTACCCGCCCACCAGGACATGAACAGCTCTCCTCTGCCACATTCCTATGGCCATGATATTTTAGCCATGAGCATGGGACCAAGACACCATGGGCTTGAACTCTGCGAGCTGAAACAATACCTCATCCTGAACTCCCCCGCCCCATTGGGCATTTTGGACACACTGACACAAAGATAATCAATACACGTTCCTAATTGAAACCACTGGACCAACTCTCTTGGCTTGGTGAGTGCCCCCATTGGAGGGATATTCTTGGACTTACCTCCTGATGGCTCCCAGGGGCTGGGAAGAGCCATAACCATGACTTGCCTCAGCACCAGGATAGTCTGGATTTCCATAAAAGTGGGGAGCGCTTCGTTGATTCTCAGCACCTGGGTAATCAGGATCCCCCAAGGTATCTAGGTAGGCATTGATTCTGGATCCATCGTAACCTACATCTCTTCTGGAGCCAGGCTGGTTGGAATGGGATCTGGGGTCCGGATGGTCAGAGTGGCCCTGGGCTCCAGGGTAGTCTGGTTCTTCCAGGGATCCCAAATAGCCTAGATTAGTTCTGGAACCTGTATAGTTCACACTGCTTCTGACTCTGGCAAGACTAGGATGGTGGTGAGGGCCAGGGTAGTCAGGTCCCTTGGATAAGTCTGTGCCATATGATTCTCTCGGGAAGTCATTATAGTCTGGCTCAGGGAAAGACTCGTCATAGTCTGGCTCAGGGAAAGACTTGTCATAGTCTGGCTCAGGGAAAGACTCGTCATAGTCTGGCTTTGGTATGGGATGTGCCGAGAACGAATGGCTCCTGGTGCGGTGATACTCTGTGTCACTTGGGGATCCGGGGTAATCTGGTTCAGCTAGGGAGCTGGAGTGGTCTGGATCTGTTCTAGAGCCTGGAGAATACGGGTTGTTCCTGGGGTGGTGGAAGCCCGGATTGTCCAGAGAAGCTGGGAATTCTAGATAATCCTGAGGTTTCAAATAGCTCTGTTCATGGTTCCGAGGCCCTGAATAGCCAGGGTAGTCAGCACGCCCCTCGTAGCTGCTGTTCCTGTGGAAGGAAGACATGATGCCGGGGAGTTTTCAGCCGGCTGTGTTAAAGCACTGCCGCATCTGTAGCCACTCGGGGGACCTTCTTATTAACCTGAAAAATTAAAAAGGAAAAGTCAGGTTTTTTTTCTTTCTTGCTTGCATAAATTGCTTGCTTTCTACCAATGTCTGATAACTAGGTATTCAGGGACTGAGAACAGTGTTTGTGTTTTGTAGCCTCCCACACCTATGATGAGGCTACGAAAATGCTCACTGGCAGGCCATCGGAAGTGTTATCTCCGACTTCCAGGTCATGCTGTGGAAGGTCTGAAGTCATTCCCACATATCTCTGTGGGCTGGAGAGGAGCTGCTGCTTGGTGGTCTTGGGTCATGAGACCGACAGTGATAGCACATCATGCGGAGAGTTGAGTTGTGGACAACTCACCCAAGCAAAACCACCACAGTAGCACAGTAGCAGCACAGACTGCTGTGGCAGAGAGGACAAACCCATGTGTTGATGCCTTCAGCCACAGTTCAAATCTTAAATAACATAGCTGCACGTTTGGGGGAGGGGCGGGAAGCAAAGATTAGAAAGAACAAAATATTCTTTTTGAGACAGTCTGGTGTAGCTCAGGCTGGCCTTGAGCTCACTATGTAGCAAAGGATGACCTTGAGCTTGATCCCAAGTTCAAGGATTACAGACTTGTGTCACGATGCCCGGTTTAAGCCATGCTGGCTTTAAGCACACTGGACAAGCTCTCTACCAATTGAGCTGCACCCCAGACCAAAGAACCAGAACGTCTTCGACCTGTTTGAAACAAGGTCTCCTTGCGTAGCCCAAGCTGGTCTGAAACTCACAATCCTCCTGCCCCAGCCTCCTACATGCTGGGGTCACAGGTGTTTGTGACCATGTCCGACCACTGTGAACATTTTGATTGCTCTGTTTCTAGGGTAAAAAAACACAACTCAGCATGCGAGTACAAATAAAGAACTGTTTATGGAAACGGGACAGAAGACTCGGGTAAGGACACCAGCGAGTATCCCTTCCTGTTTGAAAATGTGACTTTATCGGCTCCATGAGTTTTTCAGATGGGGAGCGCTCTCCCGTCAAGTGATAAGGCTTTATTGAGATGCCCTGGAGATTCGCTCTGCTTGCAACTTCCCTTCTCTGGCAACATGCCTTGATTTCCCCGCAGAACTTCTCCCCACACCCATTTCGTGCAGGTGTTACAGACACCCTGACTGCACTGAGCAACACTACAAGGATCAGGTGAAACCCCAGTCTGACTAATCAGCATCCATCATCCCCTAGGTGACTGGGTTTGGTTCAGGAATGGGCTCATAGACCCTATTAGTTCCGAGGAGTCTAGACTAGACTTGTTGAGAAAAAGGTGCTGTTCTTCCAAGGAGGTTAAATGCTCAGCCTGGAGCTACTGGGGTGCTGTCAGTGTGGCAGAGAAGAAAACAACACACAGAGGAGAAAGATAACAAGAAGAGCCAACGGGGTTTGTTGCGGAGCCCATAGGGGGAACTACAGAAGGCAAAGCAAACACATCAGGCATGAGTGATTAGGTAAATAGAGATGACTTCGAAGAAGGAAGTAAAAGATTTTTAAAGCTCGGCCAACCTAGACCACTTTATCTCTGTGTAAATGACATGGGTTAGGCTTTGAATAACCAAAGCTTAAGAAAATATTAACGCTCTGCCCTCAGCTATGCCTTCAGACTCCATTCCACGTAGCTCTGCCCTATGGGAGTCAACTTTCCTCCCTTGTCTTCCTTCCTGGCAGCCATTTCTCTCTGTTGTGGAAACGTGTCTCCTTGGGAGGCACTCTTCCCTACTCTGTGCCTCTGTAGGCTGGATGTGAACCCGATTGAGAGTCTCTTTTTTTTTCCAGGCCACAGTGACCAGGTGAGGGCTTATCACCCAGGCCAAGCTGCTGAGAGTCAATGATAGGAGTTTTGTTTCTTTTGCTGAAATTGTAACCAGGAAGTTTAAGCCTGAAGCTTCCACTAGTCACCAAGAGGTTTGCCTAAAAGTGATGCCTAGAGAGAGAGAGCACGGCCAAGAGCTACATAAAAAGGGGAGTGCTGGAGATGTGCATGCAGCCCCTGGATACAACCACCCCTGAAGGCAGATAACAGCTTCATGCCGGCATCATTGCATTCCTTCTTAACATAATTTTGGGTTTGGTTGCTAATTGTCTGCCATTGAAACAGAAGACTCTTGACTACAACGTGACCTTTGCAAGTAAGGACATTTACACAGGCTCTGAAGACCTGTTGGTGTGTTTAATGGCAAATTATTTTTCCTTACATGGTTTGGAGTTACTTTATTTCCTTGTAAAAATTACCATGTCTATGCTAGAGATTCCCAGGGTCTCCGTAAAACCAAGGTCTTCTATCCAGCAAGCCAAGTGAAACCTGGTACATTCAAGAAATAGAACAGATATATGCAGATAAACCCAAGAACAATAAATCTGTCCATCAAAAGATGACGAGTCATGTGACCGTCACAGAAACTTACCAAGGCACCCCAAAATTGGAAACAACTCAGATGTCTTTTAAGAGCAGAATAAGGAAATGAACTATGACATGCTACTAGCATGAAATACTATACACCAATAACAAAGACGCTATGAAGCAGCATGGGTGACTCCCACGGATAAACGAGTTGAACACAACAGAGCATATGCTGTATTAATTCACCGAAGCTCAAGATCAGGCTAGCAACACATGCTGATTTTCATCAGAATAGTGGATACAGAGGAGGAAAGAGATGAGCGGTGACCAGGACTTTCCGTGAGGGTGTTCCTAAGGTGCTGGGCTATCGTCCTCTCTTCTTGGGTGGAGGATGCCTCAAAGTATTAGATACGTGTGTGTACACGGTCATCAAGCTGTACGCTTAAGACCAGTATACACATTTGTCAGTGTATTACACCTAAACTAAAAACAAAAGTGAAGGCTGGAGGCGTGGGGACTGTGACGCTTGGTATGGTTGCAGAAACAGGGAAATCACAAGCTTCAGGCTAGCCTAGGCTATATTGTGAGTTTGAGGTCAGCCTTGGCTATCCAGCAGGACTCTATCTCAAAAGGAAAAAGAAAGGAAGGAAGGAAGAAAGGAAAAGAAAGAAAATAAAAAGACAGGGAAACAAACAAACCAACACCAGAAGCCATTACCCATAATTCCAGCTGGGGGGGGGCAATACAACCCGGGGTTTGGATTCCCAGACACTTCTCATTTCCTTATGTCTAAGTCACAGTGATTCTGAATGAATGAAAGCAATATCTAGGTGAAGACAGGCCATATTATCTGACTTAATGTTGATGTGATACTAAGATGAACGTGGTTAGGAACCCCAGCACTTGGGGTAAGGTAGAAAGGTCTTCAGCTTCCATGTGCGGGCTGTGTGGTGGGGTGAGGTCCTAGCCTCTCTGAGTCTGTTTGCACATCCACCCAATACCAACAGGAGCATACGAACACCATCTCCAGGCAGCCTCCAGAAGTCCCTAGTGAGCACTGTTTATGTATTTGTGTAATGGCCCCCTGGGTAACTTCTAGAAGAGGCAGGAGCTATGGACTAGACCAGGATATGATTCAAGAAACAGGGAGTGACAGGATAAGGAGTGGTCCTATGCAATTCCTAGAATTGCCATAGTGACAATACGAGAGAACTGATTTGGTGTTTTGTAAGTCTAGTTGACCTCTAGATAATATGTAGCCAAGCCTAGCCTTGAACTCCTGACCCTCCAGACCCCACCTCCTAAGTGCTGGGCATGCACCACCTTGCCCAGCTTAGAACTAAATTTTGTGTTAAGCTTCTTATTAGCCCAGAATACAAGGAAATCAGTATAGGTTACAAGACTTTCCTTATAGGTGAGTAGAAAGCAGTTTGGCTTGACAAGACAGCCATGCTGCTGGCGATCAGTTTCTGAACAGGATTTATGAGAATCCTTCTAGAGGGATCAGATAACAGTGAAGCCAGCTGCCAAGGCCGCCTAAGAAGCACTCAGGGACGGACAACCTCTGGAGCCTAAAGCTGAAGGGACACCAGGCCCTCTAGGTCACCGATGTGAGAAGTTAATGGCTTTACATAGCTTTGATGAAGAATGAAATTATGCTAATGACAGAGAAATGTGTGCAACTGGAGATCATAAGATTAAGCAAAAGAAGTCAGACCCAAAGAAATAACAGTGAGCTGGAGAGATGCCTCAGTGGTGAAGAGCACTTGTTAGTCCAGAGGAACCAGTTCCGTTCCCAGGACCTACATGGAGGCTCACAACCACCCGTAACTCCAGTTCCAGGGGATCTGGTGTCCTCTTCTGGCCTCTGTGGGCACCGAGCATGAACCTGGTGTCTATGCGTGCATGCAGGCAAAATACTTATGAACATTTTCATAAAGAAAGAAAATATTTGACTATGGGAATACATGCCTTTAATCCCAGCACTCAGGAGGCAGAGGCAGGTGGATCTCTGTGATTTCTAGGCCAGCCTGGTTTACATAGTGAGTTCTAGGACAGCCAGGGCCATCTAGAGATACTCTGCCTCAAAAGACCTAATTAGTTAACTAATTAAAAAAAAAATAAACCCAGGCATAGTGGCACACACCTATAATCCCAGCACATAGGAGGCAGAGGCAGGAGGATCTCTGTGAAGCTGAGGCTAGCCTGGTCCATACAACAATTTCCAAGCCAGCCAGGGCTACATAGCGAGACTCTTTCTCAATAGATAAATAAATAGGTAGACAGATAGATAATCTCTCAATTGTGGATTTCGGGTTTTATATAGATACACAAAATCACCCATGCACACACATACACACACTGCATGAAAGTAGAAGCAAGACTATCTGGAGCAATAAAGGGATTTTAAAAAAGGAGAGGAGAGAAAGGAGGAAATGATGGTGTTATGGTTAAAGTACATGATGTATTTTGCAAAAAAAAAAAAAAAAGTCTTACCAAACCCATCATTGAGGACAATAAATAAGTGGCAATAAAAATCTTTCCCAAAGAGGGTGCTAGAGGAGTGGCTCAGTGGCTAAGAGCAGCTGACACTCTTGCAGAGGAGCTGGGTTAGATTGCCAGCAAGCACACGGCAGCTCACCCACCTCAACTC